ATCTTTCCTATAGTCTAGCTTCTTCTAAAATTCAGAAACATAAATTTTTAAAATAAGGCTTAATCCACAAGTCAATGTTGGGTGCTAGTGAACACATAAGTCAATAAAATCCTCAATTAGAAAATTTTAAGAGACACCAGTTTATCAGAAGTTATTTCTTTCTGCTATTAAAGGCAAATCAGACATTATCTGGATTCTTACACAGTGAGGTAAGTGAGGTAAGACATATTTATCTGCAGAACTCCAGAATATTATCCATTATTATCCAACTGTTCAGCTGTTGCTTAATTAGATGCTATTTATGTGACATTGAATAAAAAGTAAATATTTTGTCCATGAATTATTTATCATTATATATTGATATAATCGATAATCACATATTTCATTTAATCCATGACAGTGTATAATACGAAAGTTGCCTCCCCCCACCCACAAGTATCACTCTTTAAATCTCTGAATCCAGTATTTTTTAGAACCTTTCTTGTATGTGTCTCCACAATGCCTTCCTTACCCCTCTTCCATTATGAAATGTTTTTGAAGTTTGGAGGCATTGGCCCCACCTCTGGCTTAGAGATGAGTCCTGATTGGACAAAACTGATCAGGGCACTCACAGGGATAGTTCAGGTAACCCAGCCAGAGCCAATCAGTATTTTCTTGGGGCTTGGATATTTTATCCATGCCAAGCTCCTTATTTCTGTGGTTACAGGGTCGGTCCCGCCCCCCCCTTCCCCCGCCTGAAGGAGGAAACACACGGCCCTTGTTACCCAAATGACCCCTGTTATCTCTGGCTTTTGTATACTTGAGGGAAGCCATGTTGAGGAAGACACTTCAACCAGGAGAAACACATAGAGATTCATGGAGAAACTAAGATGGAGTCTGTGAGGAGCTGCTCTTGAAGATCTCTTTCAGCACATTTCCATTAGGTAAGTCAGTAAGTGCCTTTAAGCCAAATTCAGTGAAATTTACTGTTACTTATAAATGAAAAAAAATTGTCAAAAATATGTCTTCTGTTGGACCTCACATAAGAATCTAAGAGAAGAATAGTTTCAGTGTCATCAGATTAGAATTATTAAATTTACTTAGTGTCTCATCACTAAATATACAGTTACCTTGATACATTGTAGATACTTTGGGGTTTTATGTCCTAATTGATAGATTAATTCAATGACTATTTATTATTAATATTAAGCATTCACTATAAGGAGGGAGCTCTGGTGGCGTAGTGCCTAAGGCATTTGATTGCTAAACAGAAGGCTGGTGGTTCAAACCTACCTGCCACTCCTCAGAAGGAAGAACGGGCAATCTACCTCTGTAGAGATACTGCCTTGGAAACACAAGGAGGGGTCACTGTGAATTGGACTTGACTCAATGGCAGTGAGTTTGGTTTTGGTTTTATCTGTAAGGAAGTGTGCTTGGTTGGTATTGGGGATACAACAGAAGCGTATTTCCAGGCCTCAGAGAACTCAAGGTATTAATCGAGGAGAGAGACAAGAATGTCAGGAAGATATGTAAAATTCATAACGGGAAATCAGAAAGAAGGTGAAGGAAGGACACCTAATCCAGCCTGGTGGCTGTTGGGTAGAGATGGGGAGGGAGGGGCTGGTGTCACTAAAGATTCCTAAGGAAGAGTTTAAGTTTGTTTTTGTTTTTGGTGCCATGACTCTAGTGGCAGTGTAGTGAAGTCTAGGGACCCATTTTCAGAAGAATCTTTTTAAGTGTATAAAATACTTTGGATTACAAAAGAAGCCTAAAGTATTGAAATAGTTTTCAGAATATTAAAAAAAAGTTTGTAATTAGTAATATTTGTGCTTTATTAATATTGAAGAATGAGATCTAGCAATGGGCATAATTCTTAACATAACGTTGATCTATTGATGACTGTAAATAATATTTTGAACTATCTCAAATGTACATGAATATTCTGTGGTTTCTTTTGGTTGCAGTCATAGGTATTGCTAATACTGTTGTGGTTTGTGGCCTGTTTTCATAATAGAAGGATGCACTAAATTTCATTTAGAGGTTTAGTCTGATGTAATTTCTTGGACCTCTGAATTCTACATCAAGTTAAAAACCCTTGTGCTAAGAAGAGATAATATTTGAACTGACCCTTTACAGACTGAAGGAGTTATTTAGGTGGATGAAATGGAAATGAGTTCTGGACGCAGGGAACAGTATATGCAAAGGCATAGAGTCATGAGAGGGGATAAGCTAAGTTTGCTTTATTTAGAATGAACAGTGAATTTGGCAATGGGGTGAGAAGTGAAACTGGAAAGACTGGCAAAATCTCACATATTTGGGACATGGGTTGATTACTCCTTAAGGTGATTAAATGTGAGTGTTTGAAATCTACTGCAAACTACTATTACCTAGCATATATAAGCTTCCAACAGTTGCTCTTTGTGATCTACACCCTGACTTCCTTTAGAAGTCTCATTTGCCACTAATTTTCCTGTCACATGCTGTGCTCTAATGATTCCCAAATATCATGCTATAATTATACAGCATATAAAGAGCCAAGCATACTGCTTGTTTTAAAATCAAAAAACCAAACCCATTGCCAGAGTTGATTCCTACTCATAGAATGCCTATAGGACAGAGTAGAAGTGTCCCATAGTGTTTCCAAGGCTGTAAATCTTTATCTAAGCAGAAGGCCTTATGTTTCCCTTATTGAGGGGCTGGTGGATCTGAACTGCCAAGCTTTTGGTTAGTAGTCCAATGATTTAACTACAGGGCCACCAGAGCTCCTTCCTGGGTTAGAGTTAACAATGAATATTACACACTGTGGAAGAATAAAAAATTGTATATACGTGTTCAATCACTTTTGCTTTCTGGTTCGTTTTAGGTGCTGATTTGGTACTGGTGGAACATAATTGGACCCCCTCTCCCCAAGAAAGCAAACAAGATAGATTGATTTGAATAAGTTAGGAAGAAGATGGGAGATAAAAACATAAATGACAGGGAAGGATGAAGGCAGACCAGTTCCCATAGATTATTGTCCCCCCCCAGGGAGGGATAAAGTTTGCTTAAAAAATAAATGATTTTTATTTAAGTAAATGAGTCTTGAGAAACAAATGGGTGAAGACCTAGGGACATTTTGCTAAACTCCCTCTCTCCCCGACTTCCTCCAGCTTTTGTTACTGTCAAGGCTTTATGGATATCATCTCTATGTTTCTTTAGAATCTAATACTGGTTTGAGGTTGGCCATGTGCAAAAAGGACATGAAGGTGGCATCTTCTGACCTCTCTAACTTCACAAGAGGAAGACAGAATCACCATCAGCAGCCCAAGGCTTATTCCTATAAGTTAGACACTAACATCCCTCCCACGGTATTCATTATTTCTATGCTGGGTTCGATAATTTATTGCCGTGCCACACAGAACTCACAGACAATACAATTATGGGATATATTGGGAAGTAATAGGCTATACAATTCAGGTTCAGAAATATGCTCAGGACACAACTCTTCAATGAGGACATCTTCCCTGTGCTGTGCCCTCAGACGTGCCTCTCTGGCCCTTGGCCTCTTTTCCTGGCCTCTGCCTCTATAGGCCAGGTAAGCCTGCTGCTCTGTCTCATGCTCTTGGTTCCCCTACCACCTTCTTTCCCCAGTGGTGTCTCTTAGTTAAGGCAATCCAGCGCAGGGATCTCAGGTCCAAGGACTGGCTCCACTTCACCTCCAGCTCTTCTCTCTTGATGGCAGTGAGATCCCCCCTCTGCTTCTAAAAACAAAAAACCAAACTCACTGCCCACTCAGATGTGAGTCATAGCGACCCCTCCTTGGGTTTCTGAGGTGGTATCACTACTGAAATAGATTGCCCAATGTAGATTGTCCAACCTTCCTTCCCAGGAATGGCTGGTGGGTTGACTGCCAGCCATCTGGTTAGCAGTCAAATGCCTTAGGGACTACAACACCAGAGTTCCCCCTCTGCTTCTAGGAGGGCTCATTTTAATTCTGGCAGAGTGACAAGACTAACCAATCCCAACATCAGAGTCCCACACACCTTATTTGCATGGTCCCACCCAATAATCAGGAGCTCTGGTAGCTTAGTGCCTAAAAGACACTTGACTGCTAACCAGAAGGCTGGCGGTTCAAACCCACCAGCCACTCCTCCAAAGGAAGATGGGGCAATCTACTTCCGTAGTGACACTGCCTCGGAAACCCAAGGAGGGGTCGCTATGAGTCCAGTCAGATTCCACGGCACATAACAATAACCACCCAATAATCTGGAGGGAGTTTAAAGACTAGGCTAGAAAAGAGGAAACAAGTAATTCACTGCACGGCACCATGAAGTGGTCCAGTGATAGTCCAGTTACACAGTTATTTACCTTCCTTGAGCACACGCTCTTTCATTCAAGAATATCTTGAGTGCCCTTCTGACCCCATTCAGCTGAACAGCCTACCATTTTCCAAGGTCAACTCCTCAACTCTTCTATAATGACTTTTCTGACACCCCAACACTAAAATTTACCCCTCTTCTCTTTTTTTTGCGTGCAATTTAGCAACTTGGTTTGTTTTGGCTCAACTTCATTCCTGGCACAGTTAAATACTGTGCCAATTGTCTTTCCTCTACTGACTCCTTGGAATTAGCTGCGGCATTTTTATAAATCTAGCTCAGTGTAGGGCACACAATAGATGCTTAGTGAGTATTTACTGAATGGGTGTGCTATGTATTTCAGTGACATCACATCCTGCGAGCAGTTGCGTCATTCTGCACCCAAGGCCCAAAGGCCTGGGAGTTTAAGTCACTGTTGAGCGCATGTACCTGACATCCCCAAGGCAGGCCAAGGCTTCAGACCGCCCACAAGAAACTCGAGATCCAGGAGGGTTGGGTCTTGGACCTTAAACTGTCATCCAGAACGGAGACTCCAGCTTACAGTGGAAGCACGCTGCCTGAGATGGGCCTGCGCTCAGTTACTATCTGGGAATAGAAGCTAGGAGAGTGTGGAGCCGAGCAGCTCACTTATCGCGTTGTTTCCTCCCTCTTCACTCTCGAGGGAGTTCTCGCGATAGGAGCTAGGAGAAGATGGCCGTGGCCTGTTTTTCGGTGTGAAGCTGTGCTGGCGTCGGCTGCAAGAACTGAGATCTCGTGCCGGGGGCATCTGGAGCTCTAGCTCCCCCCAGCGAGCGCGCGTCCCTTCGTGCCTAGGCGAGAGCCAGCTCTTTTTCCTCTAGGAGATGCGTTTGTCCCAGGCTAGGGGACGCTCTGGGAGTTCATGCTGCGCTGGAGGCTCCTGGCCGCCGCTCTAATCGTCTTGTGCCGCCGCAGCGCCAGCTTCATCCCCGGCGGTGATCCTCCCGGAAACCCCCCCTGCCCCTGGTGGAGGCTATGACCGGGGAGAAGATTCGCTCTTTGCGGAGGGATCACAAGCCCAGCAAAGAAGAAGAGGGGGACCTACTGGAGCCAGGGGATGAGGAAGCGGCGGCTGCCCTCGGCGGCACCTTTACTAGATGCAGGATTGGCACAGGCGGCAGCGGCAAGGGAGGCAAAGCCTGTCATAAGATCTTCAGTAACCATCACCATCGGCTGCAGTTGAAGGCATCTCCGGCCTCCTCCAATCCCCCCGGAGCCCCGGCTTTGCCGCTGCACAATTCCTCCGTGACTACCGCCTCTCAGTCCCCGGCTGCTCTAGCGGGCACCAATCCCATTGCTGTCGTCACAGAAGGAGGTAGTTGTCCCGCACACTACCCGGTGCACGAGTGCGTCTTCAAGGGGGATGTGAGGAGATTGTCCTCTCTCATCCGCACTCATAATATCGGGCAGAAAGATAATCACGGTGAGGAGCTTGCCCTCTCCACCTCTCCTTCCTCCAGCCTAAGGTGTACCTCCCTAGGTCTCAAGTATCCTAGGCTCCAACAGGCCTTTCTTCCCTCCTCTTTTACGCTTTCCGGGACAAACGCCGTATCTTGACCGATTCAGTAATAGCGTGGTAGTGGTCAGGGGTGGTGGTGGGGGTGGGGGTTGATTCCTGTGGGTACAAAGGAATGTTTTCCTTCTTGTACGCTTGAAAGTTCCTACGAGCAGCTGTTTTGTTTATCTTTTGAGACAGGCCTTCTGTGGGCTAGTTCTTGACTCAAAGAAATTTTAGGTTGCCTTTTCTCCAACCTAACTTCTTCCTTTGTTTATGGAACTATGTATCTTTGTTTTTCTTTCTTCCACCTTGGGGTCTTTCATTTTGAACATATAATTTGCCCTCTTCCCTTCATTACTAAGACCCGTATCCCAACTTGATTGCAAATGGTTGTGATTTCTACCTGCTATCAGGTGTCCATTTCTTTACTTGCAGGAAAATTTGTTTGATATAAAGTGAGAACAGTTTGCATTTAAGATGGATATAGACTTTTTGATTTCTGAAAGCCACGCAATAGAATTTTGTTGGCGTTTGATATGTAGGACAACTAAAGTGATTTTTGAGTAGCTGATTTTTTTGTTGAAGGGACGTTTTGAGTTTTTTGCTTGTTTTGGGAATTTAATTGCTAGTAGTAATGACTTAATGGCTGTGATTAAAAATAGTAACTTCATAGTAACGTTATCATAGTCTGTGTGACAAAGTGTAGTATCATTTGTTATTGAAGGACTGTGATTCTTCTTTTTGCTTTGTCTTAACTCATCAGCTGAGTTTTTTTTTCCCTCCCTCCTGTTTCTCTGGCTCTGATTACATGATCAAGTTGACTTTCAAGCAACAAGTAAACATTAATGAAAACGAATTTGAACCCTCAGCTTATTTCCAGTATTTAATAAGCCATTTAAAACTTAGTAGTTGATATTGTTGATAGTTCTGATTTTTAACTTAATTATTGTATACATTCATTTAAAACTGTGCTCAAAATCATTTGAGACATTGATGAAATACTTGCCTGTGGAATAAGCTCCCTTAGTTCACTTGGATTCTAGGTTCTTGTAAGAATTTAGGACAGAAATTGAGATTTAAAAATTCAGTAAAGTTCTCATTGGTTATATAATTATTTAACAACTGTACTTGTTTTCTGATTTTCAGTATTGTACTAATTGTAATACTTGACATTTATCATAGATCAAATCCCCCAAAATGGTCCTCAAAGCTCCACACAATTTTTCATCTACTTTTAATTTGTTTCATTATTTACTATTGTCATGTTGTTGTTGTTGTTATGTGCCATCTAGTCGGACCCGACTCATAGCGACCCCTCCTTGGATTTTCAAGGCAGTATCACTATGGAAGCAGATTGCCCCATCTTCCTTTCGAGGAGTGGCTGGTGGGTTTGAACTGCCAGTCTTCTGATTAGCAGTCAAGTGCCTTAGGCACTATGCTACCAGAGCTCTGTACTATTGTAATAATAAGCATAATATTTGTTGATGGTAATTATATTCTCACTTTTGAGCAGTGGTCATTTGTGGAAGATGGGTTGTAGCCTCTGGTCATTAGTCAATTATTAGGAAGCTTTTCAGATTTGATCTGCATAGTAACTATTTTTTATTTTATGGTCTTTGCCTTTAAAATAATTATATTTCCTTGACATATCCCTGAAAATAGGCAAAATACTCCTTTTGAGAGTATCTCCCTTTAAAAGAAGAGTGACTATGACTGGCAAAGTGCAATAAGAAGGTAGATTGGAACAGGATTTCCATGTTTGTTAATCCATGGAGTACATGTATTAAAGAAGAAATTCTGTTCGATGTAATTAGAATCTGCAATATTCTAAGACTGTTGTTCTTAGTTCTCTGAAATTTGCTTTTTAAATTGCTTTATGCACCAGATGTTTACATTGTATTTAGCTGCCCTTATATTGCTGATAGGAGCTCTGGTAGCTAGTGCCTAAAGCGCTTGACTGCTAACCAGAAGTCGGCGGTTCAAACCCACCAGTCACTCCTCGGAATGAAGGTTGGGCAATCTACTTCCGTAGTGATACTGCCTTGGAAACCCAAGGAGGGGTCGCTATGAGTCGGGCCCGACTCAATGGCACATAACAACAACGTATTGCTGATATTTTTCATAAATGTAACCAGTCACATACTTGTGGAAAGTGGAATTGGGTTTTCCCCTTTAGTATATACCTTCTCATCTTCTTCAGTGAAGTTTCTTGTTAAGAATAATTTCTATTGAGTGTACTGTTTCTTTAGTCTTTTTCCTGATGCAATGGTTAAAATGCTTGGCTGCTAACCAAAAGGTCGGCTGTTCAAATGCATCAGCTATTCCACAGGAAAAGGAGAAAGATATTGCAGTCTGGTTCTGTAAAGATTTATAGCCTTAGAAACCCTGTAGGCAGTTCTTCTCTGTCCAATAGAGTCCCTGTGAGTTCAGAATCTACACAAGCGCAGTGGGTTTGGTGTTTTTTCCCCCTCAGTAACTTCATATTTTTCCCATTACATTACTTTTGCTCTTGATATTTTACTGACCTGGATGCTTTGTTTAGATTTTTAGGATATTTTTCTTGTCAAATCATAAAAACACATTTTTTAAATTACCCAAACAAAAACAGCATACGTACTGCATTTGGATTGTTGTAAGTTGATAGGTTCATAGAGTCATACACTCATTCAGCTGTATAACAGAGCCACATAATCATACCACATCATATCACATAGTTTTATAGTCACTGTAGGAATTTGTTCCATAGCATGATGATAATGATTCATTAGAAATACAATTTATTGACTGTGTCAGCATTATGCTAAGTATTTACATACACTATCCCATTAAATGCTCAAAACAACCCTGCAAAGCAGATTCTTTTATCATCATTAAAAACAAAGAAAGTGAAGCCCAGAGAGAGAGGAAAACTTTGCTCAAGTTGTGTACTTAGTATAAGTGGCAAGGTTAAGAATTAAGTAATGGCTGGTAGCATGGTGGCTAAGGCACTTGACTGCTAACCAGAAGGCTGGCGGTTCAAACCCACCAGCCACTCCCCGGAATGAAGATGAGGCAATCTACTTCCATAGTGATACTGCCTTGGAAACCCAAGGAGGGGTTGCTGAGTCGGGGCTGACTCGATGGCATAACAACAGTACTCCTGGTAGCGTAGTGCCTAAAGCACTTGGCTGCTAACCGGAAGGCTGGTGGTTCAAACCCACCAGCCACTCCTCGGAAGGAAGGTTGGGCAATCTACTTCTGTAGTGATATTGCCTCAGAAACCCAAAGAAGCGTCACTATGACTCGGGTCCGGCTCGAGGGCACATAACAAAAACAGTAGTACTCCAAAGTCCATGATCAACCTCTTTATAAATATTTCTACTGAGAAGGAACAGCTTTACTGCAAGGAAGTCAATTCTCATAGTTTATATGGTAATTTACAGAAAACAAAGTTCTTTTATATATATTTTCTTATTAATCCTTACATTAGTCTTGTAGAGAAATTCTGTTGTTGGACAGTTACCAGTTTTTCTGTAGAGCCCAAATCTGGCATTCTTGTTTGTTTTATTTCATGTAATGGCATGAATTAATTGGCTACATTGTCCACAACAGTAGTCTTAGATATTTGACAAGAGCTATCATATTTCCCTTACCTTCAAGTTAAAACATTTGTAACTTCTGTGTCCATTTCTGATACAACAGCTTTTGAATTGCTTAGAATGTTTTTAAGGAGCATAATAAATACTGTATGTTTCTTAAATAAATAAGATGATGAAAATCTTAATCTCCTTTCAGTAAGTTTGTCTATTTGCTTTGTTGGATGGTACTCAGAACTAACTTTAGGGCTGGAGCTGTTTAGTATCCTCATAAGCAAAGACAACCAGGAGAGTACCTTCATTTTTCTAAAGAAGCACACATTTAAAAACACAGTGCAAGATAATGCTAATGTTTTCAAATTTTTTCTCAAATGATTGCCTTTCCATTCTATCCTTTTTTTTGTGTGTTTTTATTATTATTATTAACCTCAGAACAGAACTTTTACATTTCTTAAATTTTACCTTGTTGGCTTTTGATCTTTCATTTCACCTAGCTTGAAGAGTTTATTGAGTGTTAATCTGGTTACTATTAAATTAACTATTCACTAGCTCTTTTACTTTTCATTGATCTCTGATTTGATAAATTTGTGTATGTATTAGCAAATTATTTCAGTTGAATTGGAGCAAGGATAGAGCCTTTTATGGTAAAATGTTGGATGAGTAGGAACTCATTTTTCCAACCATTGGTTATTTTGAGAAATGTATCCTGGGTGCAAACATACCTCCTGAAATGTAAATTAAATACATTAACAGCTTGGTATAATATGTATTTACTGTGTTCAAATGTGCCAAATGATTGAGACTCATCATTTATTTAATAACTGATTTTCTTTAGATGGGGAAAAGGGAACATTACATTAAATGTACACTGATTTGTTAAACTTTAATATATTTTTAGTTATATTGCTTTTTTTTCACTTCAGCTTAGTCTAAGCTTTTTTTCACATTTAAAAGGTAAAGATTTTTTTTGTTTGTTTTATCAATCACTTTCTGCTATTGGTGGTTAGGTATCATGATGACATACTATTTCGTTGGTACTAATTTTTTTTACTTTAGGATTGAATATTATTATGAAGCATATTGAAGACTTGGTTGTTTTTTACTGCACTTCTTACTATTAAATTTGTAATTTTGTTTTTTCCTTAATTGAGTTAAATATCCTTAGAAGTTAAATACCTTCTCTTAGACATTATTGTGAAGCTTTTAGGTGCTACAGTGATGATAACTTCTTGGTGTACGAATTGCTCAAATCACTCTTGTAAACCAAAAACCAAACACACTGCCACCAAGTCGAACCCAACTCATAGCGACCCCTCCTTGGGTTTCCAAGGCGGTATCACTATGGAAGTA